AAATTAAAACCTTGTGAAAATTTGTAAAAATCAAACTCTTATTATAGGGTTTATAAATATAATTTTCAAAATCAAAGTCCAATGAGCCCTGTAAGAAGTACTCCTCTTTTTAACAAAAATAAAAATCTGATCACTCTACGAGGCTAGAGACTTTTTCCTGTAAGTTATGTTTTTGAGAAAATATGCAGGTCGCGTGCAAAATAATATTGTAAAAATTGTTCAGTACAAATAGTACAATAATGTAAATGTTAGCTCGTGATTCTCCTGTCGTCGAAGTCATCCCTGGCTGAATCGTATTTTACGTTAGAGATAATAACGAAAATATTCTAATTTATTATGATATTATTATTAGTGTTTTATACTTTTATATAGTGAATTTATGGCCGTCACTGCGATGGAATTCGGCGGCGGTCGACCACCCCAGATTACTAGGCGTCCGCCACCACGACGACCACGAAGCCGAGACTGTCGTACAATGTATAATATTATAAACATATATGTATAATGTATATGTATACAAGTAATAGTAATTAAGATAACAAACACGCGTACGAGCATTATTGGTCTGTTGACCAACGTCGCTCCGGTTATAACGTCATCGATGTCATTTATAGTGGCGGTGAACAGTCGAGTAGGTATAGGTATACAATAACGATGGATATTTTGGTGATTATATTCCGTATAAACAATGTCGTGCCGGTGTCTCATAATACACCCATAGAAATATTTAAGCCAGTTATAATGTAGGTATACTATACAATACATTTTATTTACTTGAATTATTGTGTGAAATGTGTTATGTGTATACGTGTGTAGAGTATTAACTATTTAGTATTTAAGTGTGCTAATATATAGCAACTTGATGACTGCAGACTGTAGTTATCAGCCAATATTTTATTGAATAGCTATTATAGCAACACATTTAGGTGAACAAAATATAATATATACACGGAGATCAATGACAACCGTTAGTAAGCCTAATATGGTAATAATAATATTCATCGATAAAAATTTGACAAAACGTAATTTACCTATATTTACTGTTTGTTACAATGATAAATCACATTTCATTAAAACTCGTATTTAAATTTTGCACCGCTGCAGGTGTATAAATAATCTTAATATATTAACTACAAAAAATTATTAATTATTTAAATTTTAGCTATGTTTGCAAGTATATTATATACAAACAAGGTATACCTAGTAATTATTAATTAGTATACCTACATTAAACGTACACATAAAAAAACAAATCTACGTTTCAAACACCTTACCCTTACCTTTATCTTTACCCATTACTCTCACCCAACACTGACACCACTACACAAATCTTTAAGTTTTTAAAAATAACTAAACTGTACAACCAAATATGTATAACCATGTGCACCTCCCTCCCCACCCACCAAAAAAAGAAGGAAATATAAATGTATTGTAAATTTAACTAATGGCCATAGTCGCAGATGTTAAGTATGGACACTAAAAAAAAAAACAAAAAAACAAATTACATTCATATTGTAGATGTCAGTGTGCTACGCTATCGTTTTGTGGTCCAGCAAGACGTCTGTTTAACTGGACCCGCCAAAATGCAATGTAGATAGGTAACACATGTGCAGACCATGTGCCTATGTGAGAACAATGTCTGACCGCCGAATAACTATTGAATAACTCAGAATGTAATCACTCAAATTTAAATGCATGAACATTTTTAAAAATATAATTTACTTAACAATTTACAGTAAAAAGGACGGTTTTAATTTGAAAAAAGCAGAACTCAGTTTAGCTGCATAAAAGGTTTCGATTGTATACCTCATCATTGTACTCACTGTAATGGATTGGTTTAAATTCAATGCTTAACTGTAATACAAAAATCTAATGGAAGTGAAAATTAATGAGGTCGGAACAAAAGGTGACGCAGAGAATCTATATAATGATCTCTGAAAAAAAGTATTCCACCGTATCTACAGCCCTATTGTTGAAAACGGAGAATATTGAACAAGAACAAACGAGGAAGTCTAATCAGTAATTTCAAAAACTCAAAGTAAAAAGCATTTTTCAGTAACAAACTATAGAAGACTGGGTCCATAGAGAGAGAGTGATATATTGGTATTACAAAACAATACGGTAAAAATCTTGCACTATTGCACATTTTTTTTTTCCCCAGAAAAACATAAAATAGGTTCAATTTATTTATTTATACAAATATATTAGAATAAAAAGTATTATTGTACGGTTATCGGTGTTTCGACAATCTTAAATTATTTTTTTAATGACTTTTATTGGGTTTTGTTTCAAAATTATAGGGAAAAAAGTTGTCTCCTGATGAAAAGTCAATTTTTTAATCTTTTAATTTTTTTGTCCAGTGCGTTATAATGCATTTTTTTACTTTTAATTTATATTAATTATGACTAATTTCGAAATAACATTTATTCTTTGTAAAATATATGTATAATATATAATACTATAAAATAATTAATATTGCATTGGGCAAATTTCTTGGCATACAACGTGTACCTACATCCCAAAAAATCTACTGAACTCAACAAATATCGTGTGACCCGAAAAAAACCGAGGGGCACAAATTATATGTCCCATAATTTTGCACGGGAACAAAACTCATTTGCATCCTCTGCACTGCATGTATCTGGAGTACTATATCGAGGAATAATATAATATTATTATATTATCACCAACAGTTGCAGGCGTTTAAGTCTTTTTTCTCAATAATTATGGCTAGTATAATATTATTATATGTTTAATACGCTATACGTTTGTTATTAAAATATAATTGTGTTCTTGTATTATTTACTAACTTTCAAAAAATTAAACTTTATAAGGCCAGTGTTAGCCTCTTGTGTAAGCTAAATAATGTCCCTCCCCATATAACTGTCATATATATAAAATATATTTTGTTATAAGTATTATAACCAAATGGACTACAACTACATGTTCACTACTAATATATACATACAAACATTCACTAACTACTATAACATCAATATCATGAAATGTTCACACATCAATACATAATGTATCATCACCCACGGTAACACACGCTCATAATATTCCGAATTCCGATCTGTCGGTAGCAAAGGTGTGCTTAAGGTTCGGAGGTCATATATAACGCATCAAAAACCAACGAAGACGTGAGTATTTATGCAGGGATTATTGTGAGATTTGAGTCGAAATCAATGGGTAATTTAGTAATTAACTTTGGTTATGTCTATTGCCCGTTGAAAACGAATTCGTATTTGATTATAAATTTATAACTCTAAATACCTAAAGACCAGGCTATATATTATAAAAAACGCTCTGCGGTAATCTCGTTGTATTTATTGTATAACCTTTTTGTTGTTGTTATTAGATTATTATTAGATATTATTATTACTAACCATCAATGTGTATACCATTTTAATAAAATATTACAAATGTATTGAATAAAACGCATAATCTTGCGTAGACAGCATAGTTATCGCCGTAAATCGTACGAGGCGCCGCGGCGATAATACGCTCACCGTTATATATTATTTTATTGTTCTCTGCAAAGCCTTAATAGTTTCAAACGACATAGACACTAGAAATTGCTGAATAATCAAGTCCAAATTTATAGCTGTTCGTAGAGCAACAAAACGAGATAACTTTTAATTATGTTGTAGAAAATAGAATTTTAGATACTTAAGTAATTAGTTATTCTTTTTGTTAGAAATTTATTAATTAACGATCAACTTTTGTAACTTGTTTTTTCTCCAACAATCAGTATAAAAAAAACATATAAATAAAGAAGCATAGTAATAACTAATATTATATTAATATTATTATGTAGTTAGTATGCTTTATACAATTGTACTTCAATACTATAAACATATTACTATACTAACAAACTGTATCACCACGTGTGCACACATTTTTCGTATCATTTTTGTTGTCAATATGCAACGCACAGCAGAACGTCTGTTTGCAGCTGCAGATGTTGTTAACATATTTTTTGAGGGTTTTCAATAGTTAATTTATGTAGGATTTTTTTTTTTGCCTCTCCGCTCGGATCAATCTCTCGTGCTCTTGTCGTCGTAGCAGCAGCAGAAATTGCTGTTGCTGCCATATCACTACTTACGTTTTATATACATACAAGAGATATGACCATTATATTTTATGCGAATTTTTTTCTTACCTAGCTTAATAATAAAACCACCGAGTTATCCAATAAATCGCGTCTCGTATTAACTATGTACAATGTGGGTAAATTATATATCTATCGAATTTATTCATAAATACATACAAACAATATTATATATGTGTATGTATCATCATAGCAGGCCTTACGGTGGAAAGAGGTCAGGGGTAATTTTTTTTAGGGGAAGCCTCAGAATATAACAATTATTGTTTAATATGTGAGGCTTAAAATATTATATAAATGAGCGAATCTCGGGGCAAGGGCCCCCCTGGCGCTTTCTTAAGGCCGGCTCCGGGTGTCATCACTGTTGCGTATGCAACCCATGAATCATGATATTATATTTCTTTAATTTACACCTAATAATACATTTTGTAAAAATACCGAAATATCTCATTATTTTTGAAGTAAACCAGTTTATCAGGATTTTAGTAGGTAATAGCCCTTTACCTATTTGCATAATTGCATCCTACGGAATGATGTAAAATGATGAAGATATATTGCACGGGTAAACGAATTTGACTGACGAATAAAGATACACAAGCACAATCTACTCAGGTTACACTACGAGTAAATAAATAATAAATAATAATAACAGGTAGGTATAAATAATATTATTTTAACATAAATTGGTGTACGAATGATCCTATAAATACAATGTAATTTGCTATTGCCGTCGATCGCTAGATTAGTGTATAATGTAAACTATAATATTGTAAATAGGTAGGTACCAAATTATTGTCGAAAACATAGCATATTAGTTTAGACGCGCATTTCAAAAATATACTAAAGTAATATAATTCACCTAGGCTACTCAACTATATTTATCACTCACCGCGATCGTCTAGGTCGTCGTCGTCACCGCTGCCGTCCATGTTCCGGTCGCAACGGCTGCGAACGGTATCCTCGCCGACCAGACTCCGGATGGAAAACACCGACTTGGCTGGTCTGCCGCCACCGCTGCGCCGGCGACCGTGGTTGCCGCCGTCGTTGGAGTCGCCTCCGCCGCCGGAACTGGCCCGAGTGCTCAAATCCATGACTACGGCGGCGCAATGGTTACGGGTCTCCGAAGCAATCATTGCGTTGACGGTGCGAGTGGTGCGGGCCCGGACGGTGCCGATGACATTTATCGATGCCGATGCGAGTGTACGCGGAAACTGATTTTGGTATTTTTATTATTTTAAAAGTCAAATGATATCGAGAGACGTGGACTGCAGAGAAATTATTACTACTTTTTCTCTCCGGCGCTTTCCGGCGGCCTGGACCAAGACTGTCGATAAGAATTTTTTTTTTTAATACAATTAGACCGATGTAAGATCGATCGATTTGTACGTGAATGAACTGTTTTATTAACGTAATAATTAAATAACAATATAGTTAAAGTACGAATGTGTGATGATAATAATATAACATACCGCGATGTATTATCACAATATCACTGAACGCCGCAAGTGAGATACGCACGCACTACCGCCGCCGTTGCTGCCGCTGTACTGCGCGTGCAGACACTGTTCACGAGCGTGTTATGATAATAGTAATAATTAGTATACACAGCCACAGCAACCTGCTGCCGCCGAAGTAGGTATACAATTAATGGTACATGGTCACAACATGGTAGTTGCGCTGTTACGTGGTTGTAGGCGGTGGTGGTGGTAGCGTCGACGTCGGCGGCAGTGGCGGTAACTATGGTGACATGGTGGTTCCGTCTGGAGGAGGAGCGACGTCAACCGACCAATCGTTGGCTACCACAGGATTCCTCCTATATGATAAATATTAATATTATATTATTACAATGCATACACGGATCTACTGCTCTGCTCGTTGTTTGTCAAGTTTCAGTATTTTTGTAACAGATTAATTAATTGAGGCCAGAGTACCCCTACTTCTGACAGAAGGGGAAACTAACACACCAGATATATATTATGCTAATGAGCAAAAGCATAACTTTGATGACCCATCTAAAATTAAAACCTTTATACCAGATGTTTTTTGGACATATATAATGTATTTACAGTTTGGATTGTTGAAGCATTATTTTGATAGATGTTTTATAATCAACAAGGTGTAAAAAACTTGATTAAATTATAAAACATAGTATTGTTGATCAGAACACAATAACTCACCAATAATAAGAACTTTAATTATTGTTTGTATAAAATGATTGAAAATTTTGTCATTTTTAAATTAATTAGCGTCATACACACTGCACAGCTCATTAAGTTATAAATAACATCAATATAATATAAAATACTAAGTTATAACAAGTATATTTCAGGTATTATAAATATAGAAAGGAATATTTAAATATAAAATATGACAGCAAAACTTATAATAATGTAGTTATACATTTATAATGCGCATTATTTATATTTCAAATAAATATTTTTCTATTTTAAATAAATAAACAATTCCTTATTATTGTTGAATAATTTAGTTTATAAATGTTATCTATTAAATTAGGCCACCCTAAATAATACTCCCTTTTTCCCTTTGAAATAATATTTAAGTATTTGTTACCTTGGTTATACATATATAATATATATATATATATATAATATAAATACTCATAAAGCTGAATTAAATTAAATATTTCAAGGATATCCAATTGTTTCAAATTACCAATTAATTGTTTTGTAATCTTATAATGTGATCCTTATTAACATATACTTAGATATATAATATTTAGCAATTAAAAAGTAGATAGGTCATGGGTAAGCCGATAAATTGATAAAATAGACTAAACTATAATGCAAAATATAAATCTAAAACTTGATTTAAATAATAACTGAAATTTAAATGAGTATAGATACTTACTTATAAGCTACCTGTTATAGGTACGGATTATTGTTATATTCATTAAACTAATTATATGAATGTTTATATTGGTGAAATGGAAAATCATATTTTTATAATATTTATTATTTATTACTATCAAACTTCTAAAGGTGAGTATAACATTTTTTTCAATAACCTGTTCATATATTTTCCTAATGCTATACATATAAGTATAAAATATAATATTTAGTACATTTTGTAAGCATCCTACTTCTATTATAATTTATAACAATATAGTATTAGGTATATTATAATAATTTAATATTTACAAGGCTGGGCATTAACGAATTAAAAACTTTATGGCAAGTTAAAAAGTTAATTTTACTTTAACTTAAATAGTTACTTTTGGATTTTCATTAACTTAATTATTATTAAATTTATTTTTTAATTAACTATAACTAATATAACCACGAATTAATTTATCATTTTAAGAAATAAGTTAAGTTAATTTATTTTGTTTTTAATTTTTTTTTACATTTCATTATTTGAGTCCATTTTGATTTTGTTGTCATGTCAAAAAAATATTTATTGTTATAAAATACTAATTGTTTCAAGTTAAAATTATAATTTTTTTTAGCATAAAAGTAATGCTACCCATTTATGTTTAAACTTATAGTTCAAGTATACCTATTCATGACTAAAATGCTAAATGTATATTGTGGTAAAATATTATATTATCCAACTATTTCAATTTATTTATTATCTCTTTGTTTAAATTATATTTTAATTTCTGATATAATTTGAAGTTAGGTAGATTTTATGTGATGGATATAAATATATAAATATATAATTATTAATTTATGAAAATATAAGCAATTATACTCATTTAATATTTTTGTATCTGCATAAGTATATAATACCTAGTAGGTATCTGTTTAATAAAATATTTTGTGATTTTTTATTACATAATAAATAATAAATATACAGTAATACTGTATCATAAACACATACTAAATAATACTAATTTATATTTTTAGGTATTAATTATTATTTATTAGTTTATTTATTGGATATATAACTACTGTTCTTAAAAATACTATTTAAGTACTATATGAAAATACTGTATGAAGTATAAACATTAAACACTATAGTTTTTGTTTTTACAAAATTAAGTACCCTACCGTTGCATAAAAAAGATTAACTTTTTTTAACTTAATAAAAAATTTAAAAAAAAATTGGAATTAACTTTCAACTTTTAACTTTTTGTTAATATTTAACCTTTAGGTATTCACTTTAAGGTCAGTACCTTTACTGTAATTTTTGTTTTTAGTTGTTCGCTAATCAATTGAATTGATTTTAGAAACCGTAATTATTTCAAAGAACATTTTCGATACTAGCCTATATTGGTAGAGCTGGGCTAGAAATCTCAAAAAAAGTATGTCGATGTAAGATATATTTATTTTTAATATTTAAGATTCTAATTTCAAAATACAATAGATACTCTAATATTTTTTATAATATGTTAAAACATGATGTTAAAAGAACAACTTACAACCAACATTAGAAGAAAGAATCTAATATATCTTGCTCAATGAATAGGTAATGGTTATAGTAGTATATTAATAGACCAACGAAGACTTCATATATTAGAGAAATGCCTTAATACCTATATAAAGTATCAGAGTATCTTTATAGTATCTTTATATACAGGGCCGGCGCAAGCAATTTTTTATATGTATAGGCAAATATCTAACCGCCTCTCATTTTATTATAACTTAAATAGATAAATGTCATATGTAGGAGCAAAAAAATTAAAAAACGTTTTACACTTGTCAATTATTATACAATAATTTACTATTTCTTTCTTGTTTTCATTTTCAGAGTCAAAATCATCTTTTCTGCAGTTTATATCATGTATATATCTTTAATATTTAAATTGGCACTAGCCACTATTCTTTTCAGTTATATTAATCTCTTCTTTACTTTCATTGTCATGTTTTTTTTTTATTGTCAACTACACCCATACTTAGATCTTCAATATTTTTATTTCCACTATTTTCTTCACTGTCATCAGTATCATTATCATTAATAACTTTTTCTTGACTATTTTGTTGAACAAATTTCAGTAAAATACCTTTTCGTTTAACTAAATCTGTCTCCCGTGCTAGTCTTTTCTTTAAATATTGCGAACCTGATATTCGTTTACTCTTTTTTTATGTCATCGGCCATAATGTCTGAATAAATAAGTAATTAATTAATATGATTAGTAAATAATAACAATTTACAAGTATTTTATCAGTAGCGGCTCGTGAGTTAATATTCTGGGAGACTTAAAATTATTTAACATAAACTCCATACAACAACGAACAAGAAAAACTAATTATATAACAGTATTACATCATAGTTAATTAACCACTAGTCAACAAAAAGTCTATTATTTGCTCTTTTTACATTTTTAAAATAATTACAAATATAATAAAACTAGTATAATATAGCATTTCTATTAAAATAACCATTTATAGGTTTTAGACTTTGTGGCTTTCAATTTATAATAATAAACAAGTATATTACAAGTATATACTATTGAATCATTTACGCGCTATAGGTACCAATAATGATATTTAAATATTAATTTAACAGTAAATTAAAAATATATTATATTTATATTATTTACCTATTGTGTAATGATGAAGTCTTGATAGATGTAAATGTCTTGATTTATAAAAAAATATATTGCTGAGCTCAATAAAGAATGTACCTATACACTGGCTACACTACACCGTACAGTGAGAGTGAATGACACAACAGTCACCAATTGCAAAAAAGCTAATAGAATTATTATCGATTAAATTGTAATGGCACAACATGCTTTGAGACGTTATCGCAATTCAGGGAAAAATTATCTATATTATTTTTATTGACTATTGTCTTAAAGTTTTATCGATCTACACAATATGTTTGTATATTGTACTTTGAAATTTGTTGAAATCTAAAATAAACATGAAAAATAAGATGTTTAATTTTTTCTTATATGCCGCCTCTATATAGTTATCAATTTTGCCGCCGTAGGCTTGTGCCTACGTCGCCTATCGTCTATAACCGGCGCTGTTACGACTATATTACTTAAACTATAACAATTTTAAAAGACAGTTAACAGTTGGCATAAAACATTTTGTAATTGATTTGTGCCTTAAAAATTACACAGGTTAAATATTTTAGAAACACATGGTATTTACTATTTATATTAGATAATTGATATAGGTACCTAACACACAACAGCTAGGGCTTCAACGAAGTACCAACAATTTATTTTTTGTTTATTTTTCAGAGAAAAGTAATTTTAAATAGTGTATTTGAATTCAGTAAATAATTTTTGGCAAATTTATTTTGTAGGTTATTTGTATTAAGCAAACAAATATATAAGTATAATATATACCAAAGTCACAAATTATATGTACTTGAGGATTCTAGAAATAATGTTTCCTTAACACTAGCCAAATAATTTCAAAATAATTTTTATAAACAATAGGTTTACCTATTACATTTCTTTGGTAAAATTAAGTGTGAATTAAAACTGAAACATTACATATGTATAAACATAATCAATTAATTCAGAATACTTTTAATTCGTGAAAGATGAATTGTATTGTTATACCAAAATTAAATTATAAAAGGTACAGTAAATAGTATTTATTAATACTATTCATATATTCATTTATTAACTAAGTTTATCGGTAGCCTTAATTTACATGCTATTTTAGGTGTTTAAATTATGATTAAAAAAAAATTGTT